CAAGGAACAGAGTCAAGGCAGATGAAAACACCACCATGCCAAAGAACCAGAGGAAGAGGAATCCACCTGAGCTCAGCCACAACAGCTTTAAAAAGCCTCGAACTCACCTTGGCATGCACATGCTAGAATCCGTGCAAGTCTTTCATCCACTGGGGAAGAAGAGTGAGAAGAAAACTGGCATCTCTTCCTCCCGTGCTCGGCTAAACTTCAGCAGCAACAAAGATCCCAGGACAGGCCCAGCCACCACATCACTTCTGGATGTGCCATGTAATGGCCGAAGCCCTGGTAAAACCCCAAGCAATGCTCAGAAAACAGAGAGAAATCCTTACAGGGAGTGTCGTCCATCTCCATCCCAGTATAAGCTGCCCCCACCTGGCAAGGTCAAGTTAGTACCTCTGCCTTTTCCAGTCCTGGACATGCCACAAGCAAGACCTATTTCTACAAAGCCTCTCTCCTGGGCTTCACACAGGGCCCCTGCACTGTACCCTGTGAGACCTCATTCTAACTCAGCTCAGTCTACCACACTCAAGCCATCTAAACCAGCTCCTGCCAGCACTTCTTTGATGGCCTCTGACAAGCCAGTTTTGCCAATTGCTACCAGTGCCACCCGAGATAACATAACCAACCCCATCCAGTCTTGCACTGGGCCTCAGACAGCTGTCTGTAGGCCAGTATCCTACAGGGCATCATCTCACCCTTCACTACAGAGGGAGCTTGCCTCTGCTGACAAGAACAAGGCCCCATCACCTCCCAAACCTCAAATCCAAAATCTAATGCAAGACTTCAGCCACCAACCAATTCCATGGAGGAATGTCCACATTGCAGGGCCAGTCATCTCTCAGCCCATCACAGAAGAGCAGAGGCCAGAGAGGGAGGCCATGAAGAGGCGGGCTCAACAGGAGAGAGAAAATGCCGCCAAGTACACCTCTCTGGGAAAACCGCACCTCTTCCTTCAGAGGGAGAAGGATATGGAAATTTCCAGATATTTTGGCTATGTCGTGTAAGGGCTGGCCTAGCATTTGGAACACAGTATTCTTCAAGATAGAGAAGGTGAGATATGGAGACAAGTATACATGCATACATTGGATATAAAGCCTTGGACATAAGTGTAGATATGTAGGTATGCATTGCGTTAAGGTGAATAATATGTACATCCCAGGATTTACACATAATTGGTCAAACATAGTTTCATTACTTGTAAATATCTGAAGACACTAAAGGTGACTGGAGAAACTAAAGTCTGTTATATTTTATCCATGAGTAAGTATATATAGAGGGTTTTGATGGTTTCTTTGTACCTTAGATGTTATTCATTTATGTTGTCGAAGTAGTAATATATGTTATATAAATACATCATATGATATAAATCCATGGTAGTATTATGTAAGGTAAAAGTAATTAGCCAAAAA